TGACGAGCATACAAATGCTCACCACAGCAATCAGTTCCAGTTGTGCAACGAATTTTTTTTCGACAGTGTATATTTCGAATGCCGCATAGTGAAGCCTTCTGAGCCGCAAATCCTGAAATAGACGGTGCTACTGCAAACGAAAATATAACGATCTTTATCAAACGCAGTTTATGGCAATAAACCCAGTATCACACTTTTTTCGGTGGCGCCTTTTTATAAAACCATTTCAGATTGCATCCGGCAGCTCTACATGCATTTATCAGCATATGCTCGTGCAGAAAAACAACTCGTATAAGTGCAAGTAAAAAAGACGTAGATCTGAGAGACAGTGCAAAACCTCATCAGGACAGCCAGTGCAGTAGACAATTTCTGAAAGCGGCTCATCGAATGAGCCTTCAGCAGCAATCGGCGTCCTCTTCCCACACTCTGAATTTGTTCTGCAGAAAGGAGCACTTTTTGGCCTTAAGCATTCCGCACAACAATCATCCACGAGCAACGGCTCACTGTTAACACCATTTTTCTGAAACACATACCACCTGCTCAACAAACAAAAACTCAATTGATTACTATCCTTAAATTGCGCGAAAGTGCTCGAAGCGAAAATTGGGCTTGCATTTAAGTAAGTTTCTTTATTTTTACAGAGGAGAGACAAACTGACTGACTTGTCTGCCGGATTTCGTCTTTGGCCCCAATCTGTTTGATCTCAAATTAGCATTCGTGCAGTTCAATACTGCTGTATTGAAAGCCCTGCAAAAATTCACTTTTTTTCAAAGCTTCCAAAAAAGTTTTCAAAGAGCTCCGAACAGCAATCGTGCTATACAGGCCTACCACTTTGAAAAGCTTTAATTCACTTTTTCTAAATCGCAAAGTTTTAACAAATAATGCACTCGCAGATGATTTCAAAAGCGCTGTTTACATGTTTATAATTTTGGCTTTATTTGAAAATTCTGCCGCATACACATCTTCCAGAGAATGTGTTTTTCGCGGCACCACTCTGCAGCGTAAACGAAATCTTTACCAATTTTACAATGAATAGGAAATATCGAATACAAAAAACCCTGGCCGAGGTGAGAATCTTTTACAAGGTCAAAAACAGTGCGAACTATTACATACATGTCTATCTACGTGCATCCCATTTCAACGTGCGTAGTTTCGGAACTTACTTGTTGGAATGCTGGGAGCTCGATCAATCATCAAATGCCTTTCTGCTCCTTCCAGGGCAGGCAGTAAAACCAGGCGAGTAAAAGTGTGCACTTGTTCGACAATTATTGTAAATAAGTAGCTGCGCATACCAGTGCAGCGAACACGA